AAAACGAGATGATGTTTTCTCAATAAATTGTAAATCAATTTCATGATACGTATTGTGCATAAAAAGTGTTAACAGTTTTCAACATTGCTAAAAAATTTTATCACTATGCTAGGTAGTGACAGGTCTTTCCTGAATTTTTGGCACAGACTGCTACATATTTCTATTTTTCTCCTTTGAGTTGGGAATGTAAACAGATTTTTCATTTCTGCACATGTTAACAACATGACCTGAAAAAAAAATTAACGTAACTTTTGAAAACAGTGCATTAAACACAATCTTTAGAATGTGATGAGATGAAAGGCAGCTTTAATTCTTGATGTAAATATGAAATGATATACCTTTAGCCTGAGCAGCAGAACTGTGGGAATATCCAAGAGAAAGCAGTGCCATCTCCACTAGTTGGTTAAATAACATGTCTTTCCGTACCAGAACAAACTCTGCATGTTCTTCCTTACTTTCATACTCAATAGGGCTTTCAAAGTGTTCCACCACACAGAAAACAGGAAGCATATTTCCTACAAGAATAAGAAATGACTTCTACATCTTTTAACACTGCACATGCTATAAAAGGTTTTTTTTTAAAATATGATTCTAACAAGATTTATTAACATCTACTGTAAACTATAAATCACTGCACATTTTTTTAAAAAAATAAATCCAATAAACTGTACATTATATCAAACATATATATGGATCACTTGTATGAGCATCTGAGGAGACTGGGTTGCCGAAGCTCCCATCAAGTTCAATTTTAGGAAGTAAAAGTCAATGTTCCTTTAACTCACTAATGGGTTTGATCCACCTGTTTAACTTTACAGAATGATTAGCCGCTACAGTTTTAATGGATAAGTTCAAAATCATGCATAACACAAGATTATGCTCTGTCTTTCCAGTGTTATATTATCATTCGTCATTGAAAGCTTTATAAAGATAGCCCTGCTTTTATAACCCAAGTTGTATGTTTGGCAGATCTAAAAACTGTTTATACAGCTCTTAGGATACCGACTAAATATGACATCATTAATTTATTATCATCTTTTTTCCAAACTGTCATCATTTTCCTTCTCTTAAAGTGGATAATCTTTCCTGATCGTTTATTTCACTAGCTGCTTCCTATTACTAATACTTGACTAAATTTCCAGGGCCAGCAACTTTGTAACCTTCTAGTATTAAAGCAGTAGGTAATGGTCACCAATCAGTTCTAAAAATACTCAATGATGTATATATGAAAGGCAGCATGAAGCTCTCGCATTAGGTTTATGAGTCTATGTAAACAACACATCTGCTGTAAGAAGTAATCAAGTGTATAGAATCCTTGTCTAAAACTGTACTGGCATCATAGTCTGCAAATATCACATAATGCCAGATACAGCTGAAATCTTCTATTCAGGAATTTATGGCACTTATAACTTTGCAGGGATCATGAGACTGTTTGATTCTGCTCCAGTTCTTGATGGCAAATGTTAATACACTCTGTTTGAAAACTGTAATAAATTATAATTTTTGTGCTTTTAACCTGGCTTCCTTTATACATATATGCACTTGGCTAACAATCAATAAATAGGGTAATCAAAAGCAGAGGCCAAGGAATTTGCTGAAGTGCCTTTTTCCAGTTCTAATAGATAAAGATCTAACAATACAGACTGCTGTGTCCATTCATTTCATAAATAATACATTCCTTGTTGTCTGTAAATAGAGGAAAAATAAATGATTGTATGATAAATGTTATGGCAGCTTGAACAATAAATTCTGCTGCCTTCAAACTATGTTATTTTCATAAATATCCTGCCTTGTGCAAGGACTGCATACATTTAAACTGCACTCTGAAGGAAATTTGCTTTGCAGTCAACTTTGCATCATCACGGGAATGTTAAACCACCTAGATTTCTATTTGTATTTATATATTTCTACATTAGTGAAAGCAGGTTGCACACACTGGTACCTTTTTTATTAACGATTTTCACCAGCTGGCCCGTGTGTTTGAGTGAGCCTCCAGTCACTTTGGCACCCATGCTACCCAGTCTGCTGCGGGTGGAGAGACTCCCATTCTGGTCCAGGCGGGGTATCTTAGCCGGGGGACCTTTAGGATCAATGAGATTGTTGTTTTTTTCTGAATTCTCCTTCACTTGCACTGTTTCACTGGGCTTTTCCATGCTCACCAACTCTCAGAGATCACCTACCAAGTTTAAAGAAAACCACTTCAAGATATTACTGAGGTCAGACTCGACAACAAATATAGAGGATTAATGTGGAATGTCCAGATTTTCTGTCACCAGCCTTTCCTTATTTAAAAATTAAGGTCTTGAAACCTTTGTACAACAACGTGTAGCTTTTCAGAAAGATGCCAGATGCAAATCCTTCAGAACAGGCTTCAAGGATGTCAAAATGCAAGGACAGCTTCATTATCTGGAACTAAGACTACTATAGCGAAAATGTTGTCATTTTAGGGTGCATACATTCTCAAATGTCAGAATATTCCCAAATTTGAGATCCAGAGTTCAGACGTCAGGCCAGTGTACATCACAAAATGAATGGTCACATCTCAACGTGTTCTAATTTTGACTTGGTACAAGATTGTCGTGATTACGATCAAATGATAAGACACTCGTTGCAGCATATAGGTTGGATTTTTTTCATGAACTACAGCAAATTCCACTTTTCATTGACTACTGTGACACAAGATCAATGCTAAAGGAAGCATTCTCATTCCCGCATCGCAATGGTCACCTGTGACCTAGCATTTTTTAAACATACAATGTACGGTTTCAGCCCCTGCCTACTTTACAACTTTTTTTTTCAGTGCTACCAGTTCCATGCATTTTAGAAATTCCACTCCAGGATTTCACGTTTACATGTATTTAGAAAAAAAAGACAAAGAAACAAACTAACCAAAGCGGTACGGGTACACACACACACGTATACAAAAACGCTATCGTTATCGTGTGGCATCTTTTTCTGAAAAAAAAACTACAAGAAATATAATTCCGATCGCAACCAACTCACCCACTTCCCTGCGCGGAGCTAAAAGGCAAACTTCCAAGGCATAAGAAAAATAGCAACTCTCCAGATCGGACTCTTCGCGAAAACTAACAGCCGGACCGGTTGGTTTCTGGACAGTATATAGATCCGAGATATTATTTCCTTTTTTTTCTTTGAATTTGTTTTTTTTTAAATGATCTTCGTGTTTAGTGGTGGAGAAAAGGGAAAGTGTCTAGTTGGAAAAGACAGTTAATATTAACATTACAAGGGGGGAACTTGGGACACAAAACGTGACATATATTGTTTTCAAACCCAAAAAGTCGTGGACTTTTTGCTGTTGTTTAAAAGTCCAGTGTAAGGTCTGGTGTGGTGACGGCTGTCCCTGAACCTCTCTCTCTCTCTTCCTCAGTCAGGACGGAGCCGAGCGGCTTCACATTAAATTATTAGTTGCTTTGAGACTCATCACTCCTCTTCTCTTCCCTTTCTCCTCTCAGTGCTGAGAAAATAACCCTTCCAAAACATCACGGTCTTTTTCAGGCAGCGACAGTCCACCCGGGCTCTGCCTGGCTTGGGCTGCCTTTCGATTGCATCACTCCTTGTAACTGTCAGAGCAATTTGTTCAAGAAAATACACAAAAAAAAGGGAGAGAGAGAGAGAGAGTGAGAGAGAGGAGGGAGTACAATTTCCGGCTGGCGCGCAAGAATTTTTAATCAGCTTGATTACTGTAAGACGGCTCTGCATTTATTACAGATAATAATACCACATGATCAAATAATTATAGCACTGGCTCAGCCTCAGGGCTGGAGAGAGGGAGAGGGTGGCTAGAGCCAGTCAACAACAAACAGGAGGAGCTTTTTTAACTCGTCACTGCTGCATGCCATCGGCAGGCACTGTCAGTGAGAGAGAGAGAGAGTGTTGTAAGTGAAAATTAGTGATGATGGGGCGGGGGACATGAAGAGACAGTGTTGACCGAACCACAAACAACATACAGCAGATAGTCCAAAGCTCCTGGAAAGGATTTCATGCATAAGAACATGATAGCGTTTGTTCTGCGGGAGACGGCCAGATGGATGGTTTACACACACACATACACTCGCACCTGCACACGGACATAGACCTAAACATACGTATTATGAGCGCTAATATGCATGAAGGAAGATGCAAGATACGCATGCATAAAAAGGTATACACGTGTTTATATTTCCGTGCCTCTCCGAGTATGTGTGTGTGCAGGTGCGGCAGTTTGAAATGTAGATTTCAAAAAGTCACATTCGCAATATTTTTTCGGGATTTTTTTTTAAACTGTTCACCTGTACTCTACCACTCAGGCTTCTGTAAGTAGGCAAGAAATTGTGGCTTGGACCGTGGTGTTTTAGCAAGAATCTGTATTTAGCTGACAAATATTTGACTCTATTTTCGAGTCAATCCTGGCACTTCCCTCCTCCCATCCTAATGCGGGACATTATTGATACCTCGATTCGTTTAGTTAAAACTGGCAACATTTACCTAGCAAGCAGACATACTTAAGTTATTCAAAGTAGCAACAATTTAAGTTGAACCCTGTAATTAAATGTTAAGCTCCTTTCGTTTCATATTTATTTACCCATGTAACTTCTTTTAAAAAACAACTTTTATTTCAGAAGATCCATGGGAAAATCCTAGCAAAAATTCACTCTGGTTAAGGGTAGTGCAAATGTAAAATAACACAATATCTGGAAAGGAAACAAGTAAGAAATCAAGGTGGTAATGCTGCAAATTGGGTTATGGGGAGTAATTTTTCCAAGTTCTTTTGACCATCATAACATATACGCAGCAAGTCTGCAGTTCCTTGGAGTCACACTGGTAGACAAACGAAGCAGAGACAGACCATATGGTACAAAGCGATTCTGAATTCTTCTTTTATGTTTATGTATGATATATGATGTTCTGTAAAGCTGGAGGAGACAAAATATTGTGAAACAAGAATCCTTTCTGATATAGCCTAATATTTTGTGAGTTCTTTAAACATTAAATGCAAACATATATAAATACAGAATAAAATTAGTAGTGTTCCTAAAATAGAAAATGCCAGAAATACTCAGCAGGTCAGTCAGTGTCTGGGTTAGAACTGATGAGTTAACAGGTGTAGACTCTTCATCTACTCATCTGTTCTCTTCACAGATGCTAACTGGCTTGATGAGCAATTTCTGTATTTGTATTGGGTTTCCAGAATCTACTGATTTTACCATTATCTTGCATTCAAAGTATACCCTTGTTCTCCTATTTTAAATAAATCACAATGAACTTTAATGCTTTGGATTCATTCATAAGACTGAATCCTGTTGAAATAAATTTATCACAAACTTTTTCTGTGTTCCTCAAATCAGCTCAAACTGTGGCAAGAAGGATCACTGCTCAGAACTCTTTTGCAGATCCCAAAGAGTGCTGTAACCTGGTTTATTGCTATACATATAAAACAGTGATATGTGGATGACTGTTCTCTGTTCCTGAAGCAGATGGACAGTAAAATTCATCAGGTGTAACTTCCTCTCTTTACTTTCCACTTGTCAAAAGGAGAATTTCTTAGAAATTGCGTGTTTTTTTTAGTGCTGATCTATAAATTTGGATAACTATCACCGTAGAAATTGTACATGAAGCCAGAATCACACATGTGGTATAAATGAATGCATTAACAATGCATTAAAAATATTCCATAAATTATACTATTTTAGATCTTATGGACAATTAAGTCATGACTGAGTTGTGTAGGCAAATCTTTTTTAATCAGAGACGTGTGGACATATGTTCTCTTCTATTTGTTGCTTATTAGCAACAATATTCAGCACTATTCACTTAAGTTTTTAAATATCTCAACAATGACTTTTTCCTATTTTAAAATAAGATCTCTGAACAACAATTTATTTCAATGGATATAGAACAAAATAGTGTTGAGAAATATATTTGGTAGCCATGGGATTTCATAAGATGTAAGTAACTGTTGTGTTAGTGCAATTGATGATCTTCCGTTCCTTAGGGGACTACTTTTGGAGCATAGATTAGGATATGCTTCATCACAAACAAAATGTAAAGCACGGAAAATTGGCACTCTTTGACCACCTTAACCTATGGAGGCAAGAGATAGAGGGGGAGTCATTACACCTGAGAGACAGAAAACTAGGTATTTACAAAGAGACAAAACACCATTTAGTGGAGACAGGAAATAATTACACATAAACATGACATGCCTCAGGCCCGATCTAACAGAGCATCCAGCCTGCACTATGGGCATCAGCCAATTGCAAACGTTAACCCCTAACATTCTGAAATGTTACATTACATTCGGACTGTAACTATTTCACTCCTTACAAATACCCAACTGTACACTTACATTGTGTTTAATTCCAAAGCTCACTCATGAGGCACATATATTTACTGATGTGGATTCAAACTAAATTTAAATTAACTTAAAAACTAACCATTTAAAGCTTAAAAAGCCAAGAACAATGGCTGAGCAGCTTCCACCTCAGCTGCCTTAAACAAATATTGTATATCTCCTTGTGAGACAGTTTGCTGAATATAGAAGTAATCCAGCATGCAAGGATCCCAGGATGTTCACCCCTTTTCAGTCAGTGATGACTTTATTAGCTGGGTAATGTGAGCTGAATGGATGATGGCTATATCTTCAAAGACATGCTGTGTGGTCAACTTACAATCAGCATGAAACCAACACATCACTCATGTCTGTACAAAGATTAAAAGATGTCTGTAAGTGAGACATCAAGTTGATTGGACTTGGAGTTGGTATGCGATAAGTCCATTTTGGTGATCACTGTGCCTGGAGACAAGCAGTCAGCAAGGACAAGGATGAAGCAAAGGACAAAGGGAGAAGGAAAGCTGATAACAGAAAAGAGAGCACACCACAAAGAAAACAAAAATCACTCAATCTCAGGCCAATGCTTGTTATCTGTGGGACTTTTGAATTAGCTTCTACAGCTGCAATAGACAATGTTCAAACCAAAAATGACAAACACTCTGGTGTAGTCCATCCTCTCTTGAGATGGAAGGATGCTTTCATCCCTCACTGCTGCCTTTAAAAAGGAAATCATTTTGCAACATTAATGCACAACTCCATTTAATCTAATTAGAGGAATTCTATCGTGCGGAATAAAAACTAGAGAGTCATACAGAGGTAGAATTATACCTGACTTTCTTAAACAA